CGAGGTTCTTCAAGAGCTGTTGAAGTACAGTATGTGCACCCTTGCCCATCTACTCTTGAGTCATGACAGATTTAATCGAATTGGTCAAATTTTCTGCGTGAACAGGCATGTGACTGCCAATGGGGAGGTACGAATCTGCATTTAATTTTTGCCTAATGGATCAGTTCCTCTGGGATGATCCTCGCGAAAAAATTAATAGAACTTTGTCAAAAATGTGTACTCATCCATAAAAAGTTCATGCATCTGCATGCATTTTCAGGGATCCTCATGCAATTTGGATTCGTGCCTCGCAATGGCAGTCGCATGCCCTTTCTTTGCCATCTCAAAAAATGTGCTAATGTGATACTCATGAATGGGTATCCATAAATTCATATAATTTCAAGAGCTCTAGGAAAACATTGCAGCCAACGTTCCATTAAATTTTCAGACCAATGAATTACAAGGTATGGATTCTATAGAAAACTATCAAGTTGCGGAAACAGAGCGTCTGCACATAGTTTGCTCATATGAAAACCGGTTCTGGACCTTTTTTATATGTCCACGTACATACTGTACTATATATAAAGACTCCCGTAATATGCCCCATGTGCAGAAATGAAGAAAAAGTAATTTCCACTTCACCCTTATACGGATATACAGTAGCGCTCAAAAGTATTAGCACGATGTGATTTTTCGGTGTAAACGAGCCGAAAATGGTCTAAATGAGGTGGTTTTTGGACTGCAGCTTGTTTAGACGAAATGCTTCACCTCGAGAATTCAAATTCTATCAAAACAGTTTGATTTCATTTTAAATGATTATTTTTTGGTAAACCTCCTCGAAACGGCGGTTTTCACACCAAGGAAAAAAAAAAAAAATGAGTTCATGAAACAGGCAGTGGGAAGGTAAACAATTAGGAAGACCAAATCAATACGCAGTCGGGAAACCCTTGGCGTCGATCACTGCTTTGCACCGGGCCGGCATTGACTCGATCAGCTTAGTGATGGTCGACTAATCAATGTCGTTCCAAAGCTTCTCCAATTGCCCGAACTTTTCCTGCGCATTTCTGGCCTTCAGGTCTCGGCTCCGTCTCCCCAACTCCTCCCACAAGTGCTCGATTGGGTTGAAGTCGGGGGACTGCGACGGCCAGTAGAGCACGTCGATGTTCTTGCGGTTGAGTCAGTCTCTGATCCGGTGGGCGGTGTGCTTTGGGTCATTGTCCTGCTGGAATATCCAGCAGGAACCCATATTCGCGTTGGCGTACGGCAGCAAAACGTCCTCCAGGATCTTATTGTACTGCTCAGCGTTCATCGTCCCGTTGATCCGGTGCAAGGGGCCGACTCCTCGACTGGAAAAGGCTCCCCACACCATCACCGACCCACCACCATGTTTGACGGTGGGAAGCTGATAGCGGGGAGAGAACCTTTTCCACACTGGACGTCTTATGTATGCTATTCCATCCGAACCAAACAAGGAAAACTTTGATTCATCGCTGAATAGCACTATAGACCAGTCGGCCGCTGACCAGTTCAGATGCTCGCGAGCGAACTTCAAACGAGCAGCTCGGTTCTTGCCAGAAATCAACGGCTCCTTGGCGGGACGTCTTCCATGGAGCCCGGCAGCAGTGAGACGTCTTTTCACAGTTGAGTGGCTCACATGGACGCCGTAACTGGAGGCCAGGTCCTTACAAATGTCTACCGCAGTGAGACGTGGGTTGGAGACCGACATGCGTCGGATGACTTTATCCACCCTGCCCGTCGGCACACGTGGTCGACCACTGCGGGGAAGACTGCCAGTGCTGCCCCGAGTTCGATAGTTCTTCAAGGTGAAGTAAACGGTCGACTTCGAGGTCCTAACAGCATTTGCAATGTCGGAGTACGACATTCCCCTGTTGTGCAGTCGCACAATGATGTTCTTGGACGCACTGGATAGCTCGGCAACCTTTCCCATGCTGGAAATGATGGATTAGGCAGTTCCCTTTCTTAAAGTATCGTCAAACTTCGAAATGTCGTCTCACCTTTTTTTGTAGAATAATTAATATTACAGGTGCACAGTTGACGCCAACAACAGAAAATGGATTAAATATTTTTTTTTTAAATCAAGACGATCTCTCTGTGTTCAAACTACAAAGATCAGTTTGAAATAGAGTCTCGCATGTTGTGTTCCAGTTGGAACGCATTTTCTCAGTGTTCAGTTGATTTACGTCAAAAAATCACATCGTGCTAATACTTTTGAGCGCTACTGTATATACTTATATTGAATACATTGTAAAAGAGAAATGAGAAGTGAAACACCGCCAATTTGATTTAAAATTGACCTCATCAGAAGGCGACGATAAAATTCGTAAGATGAAAGGAAGAGGTCAATAGATCGCATCACGCAAAGCAATGCAAACCACCCGTCGGCAGGTCGTATGATCTGGTAGAAAGGACCTGTACGACCCGCCGGCGGCTCGTATGACCCAGGAGAAGAGAGAACGTACGACCCGTCGGCGGGTCGTATGGCCTAGGAGGAGAGAGCCCTTACGACCCGCCGGTGGGTCGTATGGCAGCGAAAGTGTTAAAGACTGAAAATACTCCAATTTGCCCAAGTGGCTTTCTAATTCAAAGGATACATTTTCATTCAGAGAGCAACTATGAGAAACCACTCAATTTCCATTCTTTGCCTGGAAGGAACCACACCAGAATCTATAACTGAGGATGGAATCAGGCTGAAATCACTAGAGGATCAGTACCCCGAAGACCATTTGAGAAGCACTGCAAACCAGTCAACTAGAACCAAAATTCCTTTACCATCTAAAATTACCATTTGGAAATAACNTATGTGCACCCTTGCCCATCTACTCTTGAGTCATGACAGATTTAATCGAATTGGTCAAATTTTCTGCGTGAACAGGCATGTGACTGCCAATGGGGAGGTACGAATCTGCATTTAATTTTTGCCTAATGGATCAGTTCCTCTGGGATGATCCTCGCGAAAAAATTAATAGAACTTTGTCAAAAATGTGTACTCATCCATAAAAAGTTCATGCATCTGCATGCATTTTCAGGGATCCTCATGCAATTTGGATTCGTGCCTCGCAATGGCAGTCGCATGCCCTTTCTTTGCCATCTCAAAAAATGTGCTAATGTGATACTCATGAATGGGTATCCATAAATTCATATAATTTCAAGAGCTCTAGGAAAACATTGCAGCCAACGTTCCATTAAATTTTCAGACCAATGAATTACAAGGTATGGATTCTATAGAAAACTATCAAGTTGCGGAAACAGAGCGTCTGCACATAGTTTGCTCATATGAAAACCGGTTCTGGACCTTTTTTATATGTCCACGTACATACTGTACTATATATAAAGACTCCCGTAATATGCCCCATGTGCAGAAATGAAGAAAAAGTAATTTCCACTTCACCCTTATACGGATATACAGTAGCGCTCAAAAGTATTAGCACGATGTGATTTTTCGGTGTAAACGAGCCGAAAATGGTCTAAATGAGGTGGTTTTTGGACTGCAGCTTGTTTAGACGAAATGCTTCACCTCGAGAATTCAAATTCTATCAAAACAGTTTGATTTCATTTTAAATGATTATTTTTTGGTAAACCTCCTCGAAACGGCGGTTTTCACACCAAGGAAAAACAATTTTCTTTTAATGAGTTTATGAAACGGGCAGTGGGAAGGCAAACATTTGGGAAGACCAAATCAGTACGCAGTCGGGAAACCCATGGCGTCGATCACTGCTTTGCACCGGGCCGGCATTGACTCGATCAGCTTGGTGATGGTCGACTGGTCAATGTCGTTTCAAAGCTTCTCCAATTGCTTGAACTTTTCCTGCGCATTTCTAGCCTTCAGGTCTCGGCCCCATCTCCCCAACTCCTTCCACAAGTGCTCGGATGGGTTCAAGTCGGGAGACTGCGACAGCCAGTTGAGTACGTCGATGTTCTTGCGGTTGAGCCTGTCCCTGATCCGGCGGGCGGTGTGCTTCGGGTCATTGTCCTGCTGGAATATCCAGCAGGATTTCATATTCGCGTTGGCGTACGGCAGCATAACGTCCTCCAGGATCTTATTGTACAGTACTCCTTGACTGGAAAAGGCTCCCCACACCATCACCGACCCACCGCCATGTTTGACGGTAGGAAGCTGATAGCGGGGAGAGAACCTTTTCCCCACTGGACGTTTTATGTATGCTATTCCGTCCGAATCAAACAAGGAAAACTTTGATTCATCGCTGAATAGCACATTAGACCAGTCGGCTGCTAACCAGTTCAGATGCTCGCGAGCGAACCTCAAACGAGCAGCTCGGTTCTTCGCAGAAATCAGCGGCTTCTTGGCGGGACGTCTTCCATGGAGCCCAGCAGCAGTGAGATGTCTTTTCACAATTAAGTGGCTCACATGGACGCCGTAGCTGCAGGCCAGGTCCTTACAAATGTCGACCGCAGTGAGACGAGGGTTGGAGACCGACATGCGTCGAATGACTTTATCCACCCTGCCCGTCGTCACACGTGGTCGACCACTGCGGGGAAGATTGCCAGTGCTGCCTCGAGTCCGATAGTTCTTCAAGGTGAAGTAAACTGTCGACCTCGAGGTTCCAACAGCATTTGCAATGTCGGAGTACGACATCCCCCTGCTGTGCAGTCGCACAATGATGTTCTTGACGCATTGGATAGCTCGGCAACCTTTCCCATGCTGGAAATTATGGATTAGGCAGTTCCCTTTCTTAAAGTATCGTCAAACTTCGTAATGTCGTCTCGCCTTTTTTGTAAAATAATTAATATTACAGGTGCACAGTTGACGCCAACAACAGAAAATAGATTAAACAATTTAAAAAAAAATCAAAACGATTTCTCTGTGTTCTATCAGAGTCTCGCATGTTGTGTTCCAGTTGGAACGCATTTTCTCAGCGTTCAGCTGATTTACGCCGATAAATCACATCGTGCCAATACTTTTGAGCGCTACTTTATATATATTCAATAACATGTTATTGAAATTTGTCACAAAAAGTCCACCTGCTTTATGAGCTTCTGCCAATTCCCTTTTAGCATCGGTAATTCGTGTAATTTTGTTCTTATGTGCATTGCATTAGGGGTTCTCTGAATAGGGAGAAAGAGCATGTATGCATGAAGCATTTAAATAAATTTATTGATTAGAATGCCTTTACCTTCCAACCGATTGTTCAGTGATTGAACTTAAAGTAATGTGTAAGAATTTCATTAAGTTTGGAATTCTACTCTGACTTGCATACTGCGTTAGGTTTAAGGTGACTAAAAAGAAATTCAGGAGTGACTACTCGTTCTCCTACACTGTAATAATGATGCTGCCTGAAAGAATTATGGTAATTTCTTTTCCACAAAGAATGATCACTTCGTCATTTTTGTATGTGCAGAGGAGTATCAGTCACAGATTGGGGAAGCTCAGACGCTCCTCGGCGAAAAGACGGCCGCCCTGGAGCGAGAGAACTTCCGGCTACGCCGAGTGCAGGAGGAGGTGGCAGCCTTGCGCCGGCGTCTGGAGCGGGCCCAGCGCATGGAGCTGGCCGGTACTGCCGACGAGGTCCTTCAAGAAGAGGTGCGCGAGTACAAGGAGCAACTCACCTGCCCTTCGTGCAAGGTATCTCATCTCGGCTTGCAACCAGTTCATCCTAAGTGTAGACTTTTTCAGTCACTGATCAATCTACAGTTGCTTCATTCTCCACTTGCTGTAAGAATAGAATTCCCTCTCTCCAAGGGGAATTGTGAAAGAAGGAATAATGATAGTCATTTCAAATAGCATAAATGCTCATTCATATACCCTACCAGCTTCCATTTTCCGCCCCCCTCCCCTTTTTTTTAATAAACAAAGGAAAAGGTGTATGTTTGGCACATTTTGAGCCTTGTGGGAGCTGCTAGGAAAATCGGTGCTGACTTGTATGTTACAAATATATGTGGTTTGAGACATTGGGAAATTAATGAACAGCCAAATGTGTATCAAGAGCATAACATGAAGTCTGTTCCTGCTTGATGGATGAGCGCAGGGACGGCCTTAGACCTGTACCACATGTGCACCCGCATAGGGCGCAAATTCACCAGGGCGCCGGAATGTGCCAGAATGAATGAAGCAATAATGGGTGCGACGCTCAGTTTTACTTTCGAAACAGGAAATACCTTCCGTTTCGGCGTATTTTTGTACGCTAGGTATCGACCCTTCTCCCTTCCGAGGGAGTGGGGAGGGGGGGGGGGGCCGGCTGCGGCGGTAGGATTCTCTTTGCACTGGGCGCCGAAATAGCTAAGGCCAGTCCTAGATGAGCTATATGAGTTGGAGATATGTATTAGGTATGATGAAAAAGAAACAGGACTAGTTATTGCTTTCCAGTTTATAAGATTCTCATTCCCTTTTGGGTCTTGTATTGGTTCTTGGAAATGCATGCGCAAAATCATATCATTTAATGCTTTTCTGTCAAATTTTCAAGGTCATTTTCAACTAATAGAAAGCCCTTGACTTCGGTCAAAGTCCAAGAAAGCCAAAAGAAACTTTTAAAAAACTTACAAGGAGATTCTGGTGCTGTCATCTGCAGGAGTCAGAGGCCCCTATTCTGACATCTTTAGTCCTTTCGTTATCAGTTTCCATTGCCATATTTTACTCACTGATGCGTTTCTTGGTGGACTTACCTTACACACGTCTCATGTTTAATTAATAACTTTGTCAATTTGATCCATAATAAGAGTCATATAAGGAATCGGCACCATTAAAAATATCCTGTGTGAGGTTACTTTTACTTCAATGTAATTAGTTACAATTTCCCCATGCCCAGTTATCCATGGGGTAATATCGGTTTTTCCGACGAATTTCGGCAGCACTCCTGTCTCCTCCCCGTTTTTCCATTAAATTTCGGCAGCGCAAGATAATGTTTTTGGTAATTAACATGGGTATGGGGAACAGGGAAGGAAATGGTACAAGCACAAGGGTATTTTCGGCGAATGATCATTTTTTTTATTATGCAAAAGAAAACACATGGACTTTGACATCGATCAAGTATGTTTGTGCATGGGGAAAACACTCAAAATGCACTTCTAATAGGTTATTTTAGCATGTTCTGTCAGATTCAAGAAAGGAAAATATGCCGGCAGAAACTTCCCGTGAACGTGATGCCGAAATTCGTCGGGAAAACCTATAGTAACACTGCACTTAGATGACGTGATAGGACCCGTATCAAGCAAAGGATTAATATGTAAATGAAGCACGAAATTGAAACTTTTCTAGCATCTCACCGGCTTTAGATGGGATGAAAAGCGAAGTTGTTACGGAAGAGTAAAAACGTGTACCCGTAATGTATTTTTAAATATCAGTGCTCTTACTTGAATTTCACGCATTTTTTGCCAGACTTGGAGAAATGCAAAATGTTATCGAAGTACGAAGAGTGGCATGTTATGTGCCCTAAGTGAGAAAACCGTATCCCCTGTACTTATCGAACGAAGAAGCATCGCTACTTGTGTCCCACCGCACTTCATGTGAAATGTTTATTTTTGCAGGTGAAGAAGAAGGACGCCGTGTTGACGAAGTGTTTCCACGTGTTCTGCTTCGATTGCCTGCGCACTCGCTACGAGACGCGACAACGCAAGTGCCCCAAGTGCAATGCCGCCTTCGGAGCCAACGACTACCACCGCCTCTATCTCTCCTAACGGCATCCAGGTAGTCTCTCGTTCGACGACACCGCTTCTCCTGATATACTGTATGTGATAGTCGAGTAAAAGGAAAAAAGAACGAGAAGTCGTTGCATGCACGCGGCGATGCATGCCCATAAAGCGATGCCACTCCTTCGATCATTCACTGTATCTTGTACGCATCAACACAGGCTCCTATGTTTTTTTTTCGCCTCAAATTCCTAAGTTATTTCCCCCTGTCACTCCGTTCCATGTTGTTATTTGTTCATTTGTTGTGGAACAAGCCGTGTCCATGAAGCTGGAAAAAGGGAAATAAAAATCTTATGGTGAGAAGAGCTGCTTTCTCTCTCGTTTCTCCTGCACTCTTTCTTATTTTCCGCTGCACCCACTTTATCAATGATTTCGGAACAAATTTTATGTATTTCGATGCCGAAGGTACGAGGGTTGGGCCAGCCCTCCCGTAGCGATTTGTTGGAACGGTCATGGAGTCCCACGATGATGGGATGGTTAAATCGGGATGCTGATGTTCTGAGTCGTCGACACGAATATCCGCAGGTTCTTTGTAATTGAGCCCTTCAAAGCTGGAGGGGTCCTCCCTCGGCCGCAATCAATAGACTTTGGTGGCGCCTTCTTCCCTTCAACCCCTTTCCGCCACAAAATTCAACTTCCTCGTATTCCTCGCTGAGAGCATCAACGGCAACGAAATTTGCCATGCTTCTTCCTCTCTCAACACTGAATAGCTCCAGAAAATTTGAAGCTCCATTTCCCCGGGGTTGTGGAGAACACTGAATCTCGCTTTTGGAAGAAGTGAATTTCATTCCTTTTTTTATTATCCCCCCCTCCCGAGTAGCCACTCCTGGAGGGTTTTCGGAGGAAAGAGACCAACCATAAGAAAGATATTGGCTCGTAAATGACGAAAAGTGGCTATTTTGTTGTTGGCGATGCACCATTTCGCCATACAGGGTGAAATTAGCTGTCGTACAATTAGGCTTAGAGTGCTTGCTCCGGTACCGTCCCCCAGTGTTGCCGGATATCGTGCCGAAATGATGCCAGATTCAACCTTCGTATTGGCGTCTAGATCTGTTGTTTTTTCTTTATTGTATGAGACATTTTTGTGCCGAGTTCTGAGATGATCTGAGAGATGTGAGATGATCTAAGAATGAAGCGGTGGCTAGCAGTGATTGATAGATGTGGTGGAATATAGGGATATCTTATCTGGACATCCCTGAATTAACAGGATGGCGCGCCATGGATTCCATGCTTCCTGGAGGCATTCCCTCCTCGGACCTATTCGAGATGGTTCGAGGAACTCCAGATAGGTCTAATTTTCCACTTCCCACTGAAACGGTTCATGAAACGCAAAAGAGGTCTCAAATCGGTCTAACGTTACATGTCCTCTGAAATGGTTCGTGAACATGAACGGACCTGCGATTGGTCTAACGTTACGCGTCCTCAACGAGATGTCTCGAAAACCACAGATTCACCCCCATAGATCTAATTGGTAAGTCGAGAATCGAATTTTTATTGATAGAAAAAAAGTAGGCCTTGGCGTAACCTGAAAGCAGCCTGTTGGTTAGACCTAGGCCAAACGTTAGTGAGTCCCGTAAAGAGAGGGGAGTTGAAGAATGGAAAAGCTATTGAAATTTGATTTTCGCATTATTTCATAATACGATTATTCTTTCAGCTCATATTTTTCGCTATTAGATCTTTCTCACCTGAAGGGGACATAATGTCCCAAAACGTTGGTTTCCTCATTGCATTTTGTACATACAGTGCTAATGGCGCGAATTGAAAAACCTTTTGACTTATTACATGAAATTAGCGACCACTTTGCTCATTGCACGCTTGAGCCGTAGCCATGTTTCTTTCGCTTATCGTCAACTTTATCGAAAACATACAACAATTTCGTCGAAATCGTGCTAACTTGTGGCGTATGCAGTACCGGCCCAAGCTATTTCGGCGCCCTGTGCAAAGAGACTCCCGAAGCGCCCCCCAGCCCCCAGAATGGAGAAGAGTCAATCCCTAGCCTTCAAATTGACGCTGAAACGGAAGGTATTTTTAGCCGAGGATTGGGAACCACTGCTCTAAAGTCTTTGAAGAGAAGAGAGGTTCTGGAGTCGGTCCCCTTCAGTCATGAGTCTGGCTTGAAATATTTTAATGGTAGAACAGTGAGTTCAGTTGGTTCAGTGCCATGTCACGGAAGAAAAGTTCTGAAACTGGAACGCTTTTTGATTTCATTTCCAAACGAAAGACAGTGAAATATGAATAAAATTCAGGGATGGAAAACTTCAACGGTGTTGTATCATCGGTTGTCCCTCCGGACAAGATTGCACAGGAACCTGTGCATGTTAGTGAAAGTGACCCTTTTCAGCCGCAAAAATATAATTTCCTTAGAAAGGGGTGGCAGGGCATTCGAGGCAAAGTACTTTGATATGCGGTCGTGGATTTCATACTTGCCCGCGAAATACGCCGTTTTGTGCTACGTATGTTGTGTATGCATGGCCAGAGAGGTCTTTTTCGACATTGAGGTGGCTCGAGAATTGGATGCAGACGATGACGACACGACCACGCCTGACAAACGTCGCATTCATGCATGCACATCAGTATATTTTGGACTCTCGCAAAAAAAAGGAAAGGAGAATATTTGCGTTTTAAATTTGCATTTATTTGAATTACACGGTAATATTCCGTATTCCAGAACTGACCAATCTCATTTGCCCCCCCCCCCCCCCTTTCGAGGACGTTCCTACGCCT